CTACCAGCCTTCATCTGTTACAAGGGTAACATGTACGTGATTTACATTCTGTTACAAGGGTAACCCGCATGTGACTTAGATTTACAATTTGATAAAGTTACAATTGTTCCAAGATCTGCTCAGGAAAGCATTTAGAAAGTGCACTTGCACAGATACATTAGGTACAATCATTGATGTTACACATGTAGCATTATGAGAAATATGAACAATAGGCTTGTTGCACTATCCACAGAGCACCAATTTGTTCCTGTGGTGATGCAGTTTGTTGATTTAACGTCAGCTGATTATGCGACTTGAGTCAAAGTCTCCTTTTTGTCGCATTAGGACAAGTTGCATCTCTCTAGAAAAATACACTGGCCTAGTCGTGATTCCAGAAACAGGAACTATCAAGTCTGATATTTCAAGTGACCATGTCCTGTTCAATTACTGAAAAGAGGCTTTTGCCCCTCATCACAGTCCATACGAATGTCCAAATGTTTTAAATGGGTCCTTTTTTCTCTATTGGCTTCATGATGAAAACTCATGGGTCCGGAAGGTTGATGCAGCAGGTCTGTTGAGAAACTGGAAATCTCGAACCGACTGTTTTCTTTCTTTCTTGGGCTCTAGATTCAATGACAGCAAGGGTCAGGAACACTGATTTAGGAGATCTCACTCAAACTGGCTTAGGTAGGCTCCCATGGTCTCAGGTCCAGTTTTTCTCTGCTCCATGCCGAAGCTTTTATTCTTTTCCTACAAGAAAATACAAACATGCCCTCGACCCCAAATTAGGGTCTTCTCCACTGTTTAGTGCATGGATGTCTCCATTTGACCTGAGCAATGGTTGCTCAAGTTCCATCATGCCAGAATCTGTCTGAAGCTCACTGGCATTCACATTATAAAATTTTTGAATGAGGAGTGTATTATTTGATGAGTCGTGTGGGGACTGGGGACATTATTCCCCCTTTTTTATTTTCTAAAAAAATTTTTTTTTGAACTGTTGAAGCTGGACCATAATAGTAGAAGGATTTGTCTGCCCTCCTTGGTTGACTATCTAGGTAAATTGGGATTACTACATAGATTATTTGTAGATGTCCATTAAAAAGGACACATCCATTAAATATTTCCCAAAAACTTCTGAAAATCACTCAAAGATTGTAAACTATAATGTGTCCAAATAACTTGTGAAAATTATTTGAAGTCTGTGAGCAATCTTTCCCAATCTAACCTGTAGAGCTCTCACTAGCTGACAAGGCCTCATTTGCATCTTAAATTTTTCTGTAAAAACAGTAACAGACTGGCTGGATGTTCCTTTTGTCTATATTTAAAGCAATCTAGGTAGCTTCTTAACTATTTTTGAAGGGATTTAAGTATCCTTTTAATCATATAAGCAGTTCACACTCATGCATTCACAATCACATTTCATACATACCGGTGTGGCCACACCATACATTCAGAACATACATGCATCTTTCAGTCATCCTTTTTCCCTAGGTCATGATTAGTCTGTTGCAATGAAGCTACCTTAATTGAAATCTATGTAAAAGAACAACTCCAGCCAATCCTTGAACTAAAAGGTTAAAAAGTCCTGTATGTTCTTTATCATTCCTCCATTTGAGCTACAGTCATGGGGTACAGCTGTACCTACTCCTTGTAACTGTAGATGCAAGGTAGAGAGGCCAAGCTTTTGGCCAAAAGTTTTTAGAGATGACTCACAAAATAGAACTTAAATGTAAACAAAATTTTCCATTCTATATACCTTTGTCTTTTTCTTTTTCTTTACTTAATACCAGTACCTTTTTACTGTTACAAATTTTTTGTTTCACCCATTTTTTTTTAAAATCAGGGTTTCTCTGTATTGTTTGAGGCTGTCAGTCCAGCCTGGCCTCGAACTCACAGAGATACGCCTGCCTCTGCCTCCCCAAGTGCTGGGATTAAAGGCGTGTGCCACCACCGCCCAGCTTGTTACCAATTTTTTTTTCTGTATTATTTGGAGGCTGTCTTGGAACTTGCTCTGTAAACCAGGCTGGCCTTGAACTCAAGAGATCTGCCTGCCTGTGTCTCCCGAGTACTGGGATTAAAGGCGTGTGCCACCAACGCCCGGCTATTCACCCATTTTCAATCCAACTTTCAACCCAGGATGTTCCCTCATAAAGGCGTGCCCCCTGTCAGAGTGGCAGAGGAAAGCCTGGTAACACCAACAGCCACAAGCTGTTTATATACGGTGGGGATTGGTCAGATTTCAATGCTGAGCTCAGATTGGCTAGAGCTCCTGCTCAGGGATTGGTTAGTTTTCTGCACAGGTTTAGGGTCAGATTTGGCTCTGGTATTAGGGCCAAAGTGTGTTTCTTTCTCTGGTCCTTTTTAGCCTTTTGGCTCTAGTTTTAGGGCCAGGGTGCATTTCTTTCACTGACTCTGACTCCAGGGACAAAGTGTGTTCTTTGGCACTGGTTTCAGGGTCAGGGTACATTTCTTTGGTTCTGGTTGCAGAGCCAAAGTGTGTTTCTGTGGCTCTGCTCAGGTGTGTTTCTTTGGCTGGTCCCTTTTCCCTACAGTATTTCCTACCAGGGCTGGGCATGGAAGCACACACCTTATTGAAATACATGGGAGGCAGAAACAAGTGGATCTATGAGTTCTAGGCCAGCCAGGTATACACAATGAGAACCTATCTCTAAAGAAATAAATGTTTTACCAGCATCTTGGTCATTTTAAAGATTCTCTTGAGATAAAAGCATATCTTGCCATTCCCACTTTGTGACATGATCTGTTTTCCTTTAAGTTAGGCTAGCGAATAGAACAGAAACTCAAGTAGCTGCCCAGCCATAAGACATACTCAGGGTCCTCAAGTCACAGGCTGCTTAGAATGTGGACAGGAGTGCAGGAGTAAGGATGCTATTTAGGGACATCTGCAGAATATCACTAAATCTATTACTGGAAACAGAAATTTCCAGCACTAAATAAAAATGTAATTCTAGCCAGGCATTGGTGGCGCATGACTTTAATGCCAGTGCTCGGGAGGCAGAGGCAGACAGATCTCTGAGTTGAGGCCAGCCTGATCTACAAGAGCTAGTTCTAGGACAGCCTCCAAAGCCACAAAGAAACCCTGTCACGAAAACCCAAAAAAAACCAAAACAAAACAAAAAGGTAATTCAAACCCTCTCATTAACAGAACAGAGAATAAACAGTACATAAGAATGTTCTTAGCAAGACATCCCCCCACACACACACACACACAGGGTTTCTCTGAGTAGTCCTAACTGTCCTAGAACTCTGTAGACCAGGTTGGCCTCAAACTCACAGAGATCCACCCACTTCCTCTGCCTCTTGAGTGCTGGGATTAAAGGCATGTGCTACCACCGCCCAGCTTTTTTTTTTTTTTTTTTTGGTTGGCAGACTTGTTATTGCTTGTTTCCCAACACTAGGTTGGCAGAGGAAGGCTGATCTCTGAGTTTGGGGACAGCTTGATAGACATGACAGCTAGGGTTCACAGGACAGCCAGAGTACACAGAAAAACTGGTTTGAAAAACAAACAGAATGTATTCAGCTAGGTCTAGAGGTGCAAGCCCTTAATTTCAGCAGCCAGGAAGCAGAGGCAGCAGGATCTCTGAGTTCAAGGCCTCCCTGGTTGGCCTAAGAGAGTTGCAGTACTGCCACGGCTGTTACACAGAAAACCCTGTCTCCAAAACAAAGTTCTGAATCACAACCCTCACTAGATTGACTCATTATTTAATAATTTTACCCAAAACTCCTATGATTCTATCATTTTCCTAAAAGGAAGCAATGTCTGTTTTTAGAAACTCTCACTCAGGAATGCAGCCTGGCCTTGAAATGTGGCCATTCTATCCCAGCCTTGGCCTCCTAAATGCTGGGCTACAGGCATGAGGCGTACAACAAGCTGCTAGTGTCTTAAAGGCATCAAGACACTGCCAACATTTGTAGTGACACTGCCTTGAATCTGAGAATTTAAGAGGCAGAAGCAGACAAATCTGAGTTCAAAGCCAGCCTGGTCTACTTAGAGTTCCTGACCAGCCAGGAATTCATAGTGACACTATCCTCTCCCCTCAAAAAGACAAAACCACAAATTTTGGTTGCCTGTAGTTAAAAGTACTTCAGTATTTTCCATCTCTGCAGAAGCAGAATTCAATAGTTATACTTCTCAATATGTAACCATAATCATGAAAACATTACTTAGCATTATACTTATATCTAACCTGACAAAATACATCCCAGAATTGTCCACAAACAAAACATATTAAAGATTACTTAGGGAAAACCCAAAACTAGGATTTAAAAAAAAAATCTGTGTAAGAATTAAGATACTATGGAAAAATGCTTGGGCTCTCATTCTAGAAAACCCATGTCTATATGGTAATTCTGAGCATTTTATAAATACCTGCTCACCTATAAGCAATAATCTCCTGGCTCAACCTGCAATTCAAAAGGTAAATTTGAGCTAATCCAGGATAAAAAAAAATTTTAGCTTCTGGAAAGATTAATGAGGGAGATGAGTTTTTTTGTTTTTTGAGACAGAATTTTTCTGTGTAGCCCTGGTTATCCTGGAACTCTGTAGACTCAGAAATCCCCCTGCCCGAGCGCTGGGATTAAAGGCGTTCACCACCACTGCCCTAGTGGTGTTGTCACAACTCAGTCTGAGTACCCTTCAAGCCACTTCTGTTGTTTTGTTTTGTTTGGTTTTTCAAGACAGCATTTCCCTGTGGCTTTGGAGGCTGTCCTGGAACTAGCTCTTGTAGACCAGGCTGGCCTTGAACTCACAGAGATCTGCCTGCCTCTGCCCCCCAAGTGCTGGGATAAAAGGCGTGCACCACCAACGCCCGGCGGCACTTCTGTTGTTAAAGACCTGTGACATAGTCGAAGGCATCACTAAGAGTCAACATCAAACACTGAAGCTCACCATTATTAACAACTCTCCGATTTATTCAAAGCAATTCGTTTCAAAACTTAAATTACAGCAGTCAGAAAAAAAAAAAAAAACGAAATAGGAACACAATCAGTACTGCCTGTCCTTGTGTTTAACACTGTGGTGGCTTTATTCAAAATACAGTTGCACAAAAGAATTCAAAGTCTCTAAGGACTTCACATACTGTTTATACACGCGGTACAGTGATAAAACAGAACCCAGAACTTGTACAGAATAGAAAGCCCACCCACAAAGCTAAATAAGTCTTAATAGTTATCTGGAGGCCTTATTTGCTTTTAAACCCAATTTTGATTGCACAATAGATGATTGATAAAAAAGTCAATATATAGATTTCCGTTTTAAAAATAAGCATTTACTTTGAACCTGGCATAGTGTGCCAAGAAAGCACACATTCCAATTATTGAAATGAGGAAAATGTTAGTCCTTTGGAGATCCCAGTACAGGCACTGAATATATCACACGTTTATTTCGGTCAGATATACAACCTTGTTAGCCTCTCTGCAAATAATTTCATACTTGTTATTTTAAAATACCATGTCAAACATCTTAAAAAAGTAATAGTCCTACTATTATGAACAATTTCTGTGTCCCAGTAGAGGCAGAACTTCAGTTAATTTGCTGATACTAACCCCAAAACAAAAAAAGCTTAGATATACAAAAAGAAAAAAATTAGTAGCCAAGATTTAAAAAGAAATTGCCTAGAACATGGAGCCTCTAGGGCAAAAGAAAAGGGACCTGAGCCGGGTGTTGGTGGCGCACGCCTTTAATCCCAGCACTCGGGAGGCAGAGGCAGGCGGATCTCTGTGAGTTCGAGACCAGCGTGGACTACCAAGTGAGTTCCAGGACAGCCTCCCAAGCCACAGAGAAACCCTGTCTCGAAAAACCAAAAAAAAAAAAAAAAAAAAAAAAGGGACCTGTCTCCTCATGTTTATTTAGTAGCCATGAAGAAGCACATAGGCTTACCCCAAATGTTATTGTTAACAGACATCCATCTGAAATAAACCCCAACTCCAATATTGATTTCAAAGTCCTCCAACTGCCATTGTATTCCAATCAAATGCTACATTTGATCACACTTTCAAACTATAGGAAGAATATTAAAGGTTCCACTCAGAAATATAATAAATACTTCACAGCGTTGGTATCCAACCACCTAGGAAAACGACTTGAACACAGTTCTCAGCAGGTGCTCAGACTGGCCTCTGAGGAAGGAGAATGCGCTGCTTTGGCCTAACAGCCTCAGCGTTGTCAAGGGGAAGCGAGGACTGTCTCCCAGCACTCCTGGTGCTCATCTCTGCATCTCCACCACCCCGCTTCACTTGTCTGAATCCCAGACAGACGGCTGCAGTGTCCTGGGCGTCCACTTTACCAGTTTCCTTTAGGATGTGGAGAGGGATGGAGCAATGGAAGATGAAGGCGGCGAATCGTTGAGGGAGAATGCACACCTGAAGCCCAGCAGCCTGCTGGTACAGCACCACCCACAGAAAGGGCTTGGACTTCCAGAAAGTCCAGACTCTCGTGAAAGCCTTGAGCGGTGTCACTAAAGAGAACCTCCGCGCTCACGGCCTGTGCTGCTGAAAAGAACTCTCTCACTGTTTCTACTTCCCAAACTGTGACAGTCCTCAAATACCACCCCAGCCCCCAAAACTGCCTTCAAGCTATCGATACCTAGACCACCTCTAAAAACAAAAATCAATCAGCTTTGTCATCCAAGAGACTATTGCCATTTAATATTACAGCTGAATGTAATTTGTTAATCTATGAATAACCTTAAAACATTATGAATGAAATGCACCAAACTACACCTGTGTAAAAGCAACCATGTTTTAATTATGGGCTAAAAATGTCTAATACATTAAACATGAATTATAAAAATCCAGAATCTAAATACAGTGCTAGAGAATTTCACAATGGGAAGATGGATGAAAATTCTTTTCTACTTACATTATGATTAACAGACTAGCAAATCTTAATTGGAATGATAAGGCCGAGACAGTAAAACCACACTTTTCCTATAAAAGGTTACACATCATCTCCTATAGGGGCAGCTATCGTACATGAAGAAACAAAGACATGGTCGCTCTACTGCACACCCAGGAGCGTCAGGCGACCTCATCCTGGAGGGACCTAGTCATCATCTTCCTCTCCATCGTCTTCAGCATCTCGCTTCCTTTTCTCTCCCCGAAGACCCTCTTCCTCTGTAACAAAAGCATATGAGACACTTAATTTTGACAAATGAATTTTTGTTAAGTTACAAGGCTTTTAATCTTAGTAAAAAATTAATAGTGAGAGAAAATTTTGGTTGTTTCCACTCTGAAATTTCTTCCAATTTCAGAGTATAAGCAGACTCAAGAGAACCCAACAAACCTCATGGACAAGCCACAACTTACAGGTCAAGAAACAAAGTGCTCAGCCGGGAAGCAGAGGCAGGCAGATCTCTGTGAGTTGGAGACCAGCCTGATCTACAAGAGCTAGTTCCAGGTTAGGCTCCAAAGCCACAGAGAAACCCTGTCTCAAACCCTCCCCCCAAAAAAGAAACTAAGTGCTTGGCATCAATGTGATTTTTTAAGTTTTTAAAGATTAATTTATTTATTATGTATACAATGTCCTGCCGGCACACCAGAAGAGGGCATCAAACCTCATGATAGATAGTAAGTCACTATGAGGTTGCTGGGAATTGAACTCAGGACCTCTGGAAGAGCAGCCAGTGCTCTTAACCTCTAAGCTAGCCCTGTGCTTAAGATAAACACCATTCTGAAGAACTAGGTAACAAGGAAACTAAAAGGACACCTGGGTCCAGCCATTCCTCTCTGGACTGAGGTTCCCCACTCTGTAAGATTCCAGAGTGCAATAAAGTGACCGCAAGCTTTTAATTCATTTCTGGGGTTTTCTGTTTGTCTTGTTTTTCTGTGTAACCCTGGCTATGCTGGAACTCTCTCAGTAGACCTGACTGTCCTCAAACTGAGATCCACCTGCCTCTACCTCCCAAGTACTGGGACCTACAGGCATGCGTCACCATGCCTGGCTTTCACTTCTATTTCTTAAGTACAAGTTACAAGCTGGATTTTTTGTTTTGTTGTAGCAGAATGAATACTCTTTTTCAAAAAACTTCTCTATTTCTCAAGGCATGTTACAAAGGAACCAAGGGCATTCCCCATTACGCTCAGCACTCAACATCCCATCCTAGATTCAGAATCACTTAATGCTGATGCAACTTACCCTCTTCTTCCTCTTCCTCCCCTTCATCAACATAATCGTCATCATCTTCTTCATCCTTCAAATGCAAATATTCAGTGTGAGAACAAATGAACCATACTTAATTTTACTGTTTACCAAATCCCAACAAGAATACACAAATCATAGTTCACTGGATTTTTAAGACAGTTTCTGCCTGCTTTGCTTTTTTTTTTTTTTTTTTTTTTTTGGTTTTTCCAGAGTTTCTCTGTATTGTTTTGGAGCCTGTCCTGGAACCCGCTTGATAGACCAGACTGGCTGCTTTGCTTTTGAACCTAACAAGGCACCTAGATTTTTATAAACATAGGTTATGCTTTAGACTAACACTGTTCAGGAGAACTTTCTGCAACTGTGCAAACGCTCTCTGTGCTGTGCCATGCTGTGTAGTACCGAAGCCACCAAGGGCTAGTGAGCGCTCGGAATACAGCAGCACAAGTGTGGGAGATGTGTTTGAGTTTTAATTTTAATTATTTGTTTGCTTGAGATAGGGATCCATGATGCAGCCCAGGCTAACCTCTTCATTAGTAATGGTACTGGTTCTGCCTCAGTGCAGGGATTACAGGCATATACCACTTTGTCCAGCTTACTTTTTTTCTCTGTGGCTTTGGAAGCTGTCCTGGAACTAGCTCTTGTAGACCAGGATGGCCTCAAAACTCACAGAGATCCTCCTCCTGCCTCTGCCTCCGGAGTGCTGGGATTATAGGCACCACCCTATCCAGCCTAGCAACCACTAAGCATTCACATTTTGTGCTGAACTTGGAACCAGACTGGCTGGCCGGCAAGCCCCAGGAATCTTCCTGTTTCTGCTTGCCCTGTGCCAGGAGTGTAGACATTCACCACCATGCCACCTTTTTGTGTGGTGGTTGAATCTGAGCTCAGGTCTTTATGGTGTGCAGCCATCTCCCCATCTCAGCTCCCAGGTAAATCACACACGGAGTCTTATTAATTATGAATGCCTGGCCTTAGCTTGGCTTGTGAGTTCAAGGATAGATAGTCCAGTCTACACAGTGAACTCTAGGACAGTCAGGGCTACAGAAAGAGACTCTGTATAAAAAAGGGGGGGGCATCAGAGACTGGATCCCCAGAACCCACATAAAGCTGGTGCATCAATGTACACCTGTAATCGATATTCCTACTGGCAATATGAGAAATGGCAATGAAAAATACCCCCAAGTCTGTGGGCCAGCAAGCCTGGCAAACACAGAATACAGAAGCTGAGAACTGATACCTAAAGCTGTCCTCTGACCTATGCATGCATGTCACGGCCCATCTTCATAAACATGAACACTCACAAAAACAGAAACATCATGCATACAACACAGACACTTAAAAAATAAAGGCGGAGCCGGGCAGTGGTGGCGCACGCCTTTAATCCCAGCACTCGGGAGGCAGAGGCAGGCGGATCTCTGTGAGTTCGAGGCTGGGCGAGACCGACAGCCTCCAAAACAATACAGAGAAACCCTGTCTCGTAAAAAAAAAACAAAACAAAACAATAAAAAAATAAAAATAAAGGCGGGCTGCAGAGATGGCTCAGAGGTTAAGCGCACTGGCTGTTCAATACCCAGTAACCACAGGGTGGCTCACAACCACCACTAATGAGACCTGGTGCCCTCTTCTGGCCTGCAGGCGTACATGCAGGCAGAATACAGCACATATAATAAACAAATCTTTGTTTAGCTGGGCGGTGGTGGCGCACACCTTTAATCCCAGCGCTGGATCTCTGTGAGTCTGAGGCTAGCCTGGTGTACAGAGTGAGTTCCAGGACTGGTTCTATAGCTACAGAGAAACCCTGTCTCAAAAATCCAAAAATTAAAAAAGCAACCAGGTGTGATGGCACAAGTCTGTAATCCCAGCACTTACGAAGCTGAGGCAGGAGGACCATGAGTTCAAAGACCCCTGAGCTACACAGCAAGACCCCATCTTGAAAAGGGAAAACTAACCACCTGGAGAGATGGCTCAACACTTAACAGTGACGAGAGCCTGGGAGCTACTTCCAGCCCTCACAGCGTGGCTCACAAACACCTGTAATTCCAGCTCCAACAAGTACTATGCCCTCTTCGGGCCTCCGTAGTCACCAGTCACACAGGTGGTACACAGACATACATATAGGCAAAATACCCACACATACACAATAAAAATAAAAATAAAGTAAAATGCATACATTTCCTTCTTAATTATTTTTGAGTACCAGAAGTCTTTGGTGCTTACCTGGCATTTAGCTCCTAAAAACAAGAACTCTTGGGTTTGTTTGTTCTGAGACAAGTTTCCTCTGTAGCCTAGGCTATCCTAGAGCACACTAGGTAGCCTATGCTATCATTAAACTCCTGCAGTCCTACTGCCTCACCCTCTGCTGGGATTATGGTCATGAGCTACCCCACACTTAGCTAAGCCAAGACACCCAAACTGTCCCATCTAGAATGAAAATGCTTCCTGGCCCTGCACAAACTTTTTTTTTTTGAAGATTTATTTATTATGTTCTGTCTGCATGTAAGAGGGCGCCAGGTCTCATTATAGATGGTTGTGAGCCATCATGTGGTTGCTGGGAATTGAACTCTGGAAGAGCAGTCAGTGCTCTTAACCCTTGAGCCATCTCTCCAGTCCCCCCTGCACAAACTTAATGCTTCATATAGCTCAGAGGTTTCTGATCAATGCTTGGCCATGTCATTGAGTTAATATTCCCAAACATTCAGTAGAATAATAAACTTAAAAGGTAAGGAAGTCATCCTGCAGTAGGTTGAAAGTAACTTTTAAGGCAGGAGTGGTGAATGTGTGTGATGATGGATCCCAGCACCCAGGAGACAGAAATGACAGGACTGCCACAAATTCAAAGGCAGCATGAGATGCCACAAATTCAAAGACAGCCTGGGTGCAGAGTAAAACAGGACCATCCCCACACTTCAAAATGTAATTTTTAGGGCTGGAGAGATAGCTCAGAGGTTAAGAATACTTCCTGCTTTTCCAGAGGTCCTGAGTTCAATTCCCAGCAACCACACTGTGGCTCACAACCATTAGTAATGAGATCTGGTGCCCTCTTCTGGCCTGCAAAGATATATGCAGAGAGAACACTGTATACATAATAAATTGTACATTCATTTCAAATTTAAAAATAGTATCAGGAAAATAAGAACCATCCGTCAGATATTATCTACCTAACCTAAGAAAAACTACAGATGATGATGCTTTGGCGGCAAAAGAAACACATTACAGAGGAACGTCAAGAGGCAAATAATGGCCTTCTCTGCATACATACTATAAAGGTGCGCTGTGAAGGATAGCCCTAAGCTGAGATGTCACTGAGATCCAGCCTGGGCTACACAGCTCATTCCATGACAGCCAGGCTACACACAGAAATCGTGACTTGGAAAAAAAACAGGAGGAAAGCTACTGCAAGACGCGAGAGTGTAAGGCAAGAGATAACTGGAGGGCAGACACTATTCCAGGACTCTGCAGAGTCTGTAATGTGCCAACCAGGAACTGGGTGCTTTAAATATACAGACTCAGATTCATGAAATGTTTTCACCATCCCATGGCACTGGGAGCAGTCAATTCAAAGGACATCTGAGAAAAAGCAACAAGCAATGGCAGTTCTTAGGGAGCCACCTTGACACGTGGCTCAGTCTGCCCATCTGAGGCCCAAGTCAGAAAGACGCAACTTTGCCTTTTTCTTTCTCTTGGGACACTGGCCAGAACCAGACTTTTCTGACAATGGGGTCTCCACACCCCTTCTCTGAGGGCCCTTCCCTGCCACATGACTGCTTGTCCACGTGTGTCTGACCTCAACGCCAGCTTGAACCCCACGCGGTTTGGTTTTTTCTTCTCCCCTCCCCTTTTGGTTTTTTGAGCTGAAAAATCAAAAGCAGCAAGTGTTCGTGGTTGTCTGGATTCACTCTAGAGCATCCAGTAGGAAACTACGCACAACCCACTTTACAGTACTCAGCCTTGTGTACAAATATCAAGCTCCCATTCACCTGGATTTCTTCTTTCATCAAGTATGAAAGGCCCACCTCCTCTTCTCCCTCTCCCACTTCTGAACCGGCCTCTTCATCATCATCCTCCTCCTCCTCGTCGTCGTCCTCCTCCTCGTATCCTTCAGGTGGACCAGCTTCCTCTTCCTCCTCTTCTTCCTCATCTTCATCTCCGTCTTTAAAAAACATTTTAAAGATGAGCAAACAGCTGGGCACAACTTTAATCCCAACACCCAGAGGCAGAGGAGGTGGATCTGGAGGCCAGCCTGGTCTACGTGCTGAGGAGTTATGTCTCAAAAAGAAAAAAGCATTACCCTCCTCGTCCTCCTCTTCCGAGTCCGGTGCCTCGTTGTCCTCCTGATCGAATCCATCTAAGTACGTGATTTGCTGCAGCAGTTCGAAGATACTTTCTCTGTAATCCTCCAGGTTTGTGATCTCACAGTTAAACAAGTCAAGACTTTTCAAATTTTTAAGATTTTGCTGAAAAAGTAAAGTTAAAGGTTACAATCAAGATTTTAAACACCACGTTCTTCAATTTTAATGGAAGATCTGAAAAACATATACTTGAAGTTAAGGAGTGATTTTTTTTTTGCACTTTTAGTGTTTTGTAAGGGTCATTCTACCAAGCACAGCAAGCTCTTAGTCACCACTGTGCCTCCAGCATGGAGGAACTCTGGCTGTCACAACTGCACCTTGAGCATCTGTCTTGCAGCTTGTGGGGTTTTTTTTCCCCCCAGACAGAGTTTCTCTGCCGCTTTGGAGGCTGTCCTGGAACTTGCTCTTGTAGACTAGGCTGGCCTAGAACTCACAGAGATCCATCTGCCTCTGCCTCCCGAGTGCTGGGATTAAAGGTGTGCACCACCACCACCCGACTCGAAGCTTGTTTTTAGAGACACTGAGGCATCTTGGCTAACAGAATCTGGGCAGAACAGGCAACAACACACCCAGCCAGGTAGCAGGATCAGAGTTAGAGACCAACCTAGACTACAAAGACCACACACCTCAAAAGACGGCACATCCATATGACAGTCCCTAAGCCAGCACCCAAGCTTGTTTGCAATAGCTTAACCTCACATCTTTTTCTTCTTTAAAGACAGGGTAGGGCGGGGCAGTGGTGGTGCACGCCTTTAATCCCAGCACTCGGGAGGCAGAGGCAGGCAGATCTCTGTGAGTTCGAGGCCAGCTGGTCTACAGAGCTAGTTCCAGGACAGCCTCCAAAGCCACAGAGAAACCCTGTCTCGAGAAACCAAACAAAAAACAACAACAACAACAACAAAAAAGACAGGGTAGGGGTCTTATTATGTAGTCCAAGCTGCTCTTGAACGCTCTAGCCTCCCAAGTACTAGGATTACAGGCAAGTACCACCACATCACACCCAATTGCTTTAAACACCCGAGGACAAGGCTAGCCAAATGGTTCAATGGGTACCTTTACCTGTTGCCATGCCTGTCCACTTGAGTTCAATCCCTGGAACCCACACACTGGAGAAAGCCATTTCCCACAAGTTGTTCTCTCACACACTCACCCACAAACACACACAGACAACTGTCATGAAACAAAATGTAAGTCTAAGCATCCATTTTCAGTTTTATATTATTTATCGTCCCCTTTCAATCATCAGAAAATACCTCTCGGTACCTCAAAAGGTACTATGTGTCCCTTTATTTTAGAAGAAAAAAATAGGTGTTTAAAAAGACATTCCACAATTCCACATTTAAAACCAGAGTAAAGTCATTAACTAAATTTGTCTGGTGAGGGAAGCTGGGGGAAGGGGGGAGGAGAGAAGGGAGGGGGAACTGGGATTGGAATGTAAAAAATAAATAAATTTGTAGATGATGCAAAAATTATCTGAATTTTCGCTTACATTTTAATTATATTGAAGGGGAGTATCCATGCATATGCCACATGCATGTGTGTGTGTGCATTTGTGTGTCAGAGACAACTTTTGGAAGTGGGTTCTCTCCATCTACCCCAGAGGTTGCAGGGATCAGCTCAGGTCTTCCAGCTTGCTGGTAAGTGCCTTTAAAACTGAGCACCACTGAGGCCTTAATTTTATTTTTGGTTGTCTGTTTAAGACAACATAGCCCTGGCTGCTCCAGAATTCATTATGTAGACCAGGTTGACCTTGATTTCACAGGGATCCACCTGCCTCTGCCTCCCAAGCACCAGGACTAAAGGCATGCACCAACACTGCCTGACTTGAGGCTTTTATTTTATCTTATCTTGGTTTCTGGAGACAGGGTTTCTCTGTAGCTTTGAAGCCTGTCCTGGCACTAGCTCTGTAGACCAGGCCGGCCTTGAACTCAGAGATCCACCTGCCTCTGCCTCCCAAGCACTGGGGTTAAAGGTGTGCGCCGGCTGAGGCCTTTATTTTTAGGAAAGGACTTCACTGCAACACAGTTCCACCTTGGTGTTGTCTCTCTGCCTCAGTGCTGAGTGCCAAGCCCAGCTGGACATTCTAATTAAAGAAAAACAGCTTTGTGGATCACAAGAGGTATTTCAGAAAACTCCAGACTTAAACTGAGATAAATAAAATAGAATATGAACAAACCTCAGATAAATTAATCCAAAATTAACCCCAAAATGAAGTCCAGAGACAATGGTTCCACTCACCAGGGCCTCCACTGTACTGAGGTCTTTGATTTTGTTTCCACTCAGATTGAGGTAGGTAAGATTTGGACATTTCTCTGCCAGGACTTCCAAGCCTCCAGATATTATATTGTCACTAAGTTCCAACTACAGATTCAACATGGAGAGAAAAGGAATAATCATGAAGCCTGAGGACCTTTTAAAGCACACCCATTTGAAGAAAACCATTTGCCATTCTCTCTGACTTCCTCAACTCCCATCTATCTGCAAAAAAATCAGAACCCTACACAGTAACTTAGCCGTGGCTCCAATGTGTTAACATGAATTTTCTGATGAGGGGCAGTGGTAGATACTAAATCCAATTTAATTTAAATTACTAAGCCATACTGAAACTAATTCCAAAATCCTACAGTCCTTTTCTTTCTTTCTTTCTTTTTTTTTTGTATTTAGTTTTTAGAACTAGTCTCTGTATTCTAGAACTTACTCTGTAGACCAGGCTAGCTTTGAACTCAGACCTTTATCTACCTCTGCCTCCTGAGCACTGAGACAAAAGACGTGTCTCCACTGCCCAGCTCTTTTATTTTATTAATTATTATTTTATGTGTATTGGTGTTTTGCTGCATGTATGAGGGTCTGGGATCCCCTGGAACTGCAGTCATAGTTGTGACTGGGTGAACCCCAAGTCCTCTGGAAGAGAAGCCAGTGCTCTTGGACCACTGAACCCTGTCTCTAGTCTCCTTCCTTTTGCTTATCTTTAGAAACTTAAAGATTTTTCTTTCTTTCTTTCTTTTTTTGTTTTTTGTTTTTCTTTTGTTTTATGAGACAGGGTTTCTCTGTGTTAACAGCCCTAGTAGTCCTGGAATTCACTCTGTAGATCACACTGGCCTGAAACTCAGAAAGAACCCCGAGTGCTGGGATTAAAGGTGTGCCCCCACTACCGCCCAGCCCTTAAGGATTTCTTACCAACAGGTGAAATGGTTATTTCACTGGACCAAAACCATGGTGTCCTCAAACTATTGCCAACTCACCTTTCGAAGTTTGTTTAAGCTGGGAAGCCGGGCCAAGGAACTTAATTCCACGTTGGCCATACTAAGAAACTCCAGTTCTTTAAAGGTGTCATTCAGGCCTTCGATTTCCCCATTGACGCACAAGCAGTTATCAAGGACTAACTCTGTCACCTGCAGAAGAAACATATTAATAGTTAGTACGCCTGGCAATAGACCTGTGTTAGAGCACTCTAAACACTCAAATACTAAAAACATCAATCCCAGCACTCCAGGGGCAGAGTCAGGCAGATCTCTGAGTTCCAAGCCAACCTGGTCTAAGTAGTAAGTTCCAGGACAACCAGAGCTATAAAAAAGAGAAAGACCCTGTTAAAAAAAAAACTCTCAAAACAACAACCAGTCCCTTACCTATCATTCCTGCTCACCCATGTTCCTGTAAGCAACCCTGAGTAACTCACTAAGTCATTAAAAATTTTTAAAGCCAGGCAGTGGTGGCGCAAGCCTTTAACCCCAGGCCAGTCTGGTCTACAGATCGGAGTTCCAGGACAGGCTCCAAAAGCTACAGAGAAACCCTGTCTTGAAAACTAAAAAAAAAAACAAAAACAAAAAAAAAAATTAAAAAAGACTTGAAGGTATTCTGGAGATTAGCCGGGAAGAAGGGGATCTGAGGGGGAAGGGAATAATAAAGATGGGTAAGGGGTGACCATGATCACAACATACTATATATACACATATATGAAAAGTATGAAACACTGTCTGTAGTAACACATACTAATAAAATTTGATGTGTGATTTAGCTATTACTGTAAGCAACCCTTTACAACTGAACTTGGATTGACAAGTGCAATCTTCAAATCACAGAGGCAGAAACTAACTGTGAAAAAGGTCCTACAGTGTGCGTGGACTGTGAGGAAGCAGAAACTAACCATGAAAAAGGTCCTACAGTGTGCGTGGACTGTGAGCAAGAGCCTCCCCACCCCAACCTACACTTGCACAGGGAGGAGACTCCTGGGCTGCTGCGGAAGACTCGGGAGCTGAGAGGAGGGTAACTGTTTATCACTTCTTCCATGTAAGCCTCTGTATCTTTGGCTATAAATGCCTATGGAATTCCAACCCTGTTACCCTTCAGGAAGTAATGTCAGAAACCTTCTACAATAGCCCACCTTTGGGGTATCAAATGAAGATAAACAGTATTACACACAAGAATATCCTTGACAAAATGTCATTTCTCCTTTTGATGCTCAAGCAGTTCTATGGACTTTCTCATTCCTGCAGAAGGGAAGACTAGATTTCCTTTTTTAATTTTTTTAACGTATATGGAGTTTTTGCCTGCATGTGTGTTTGTGTACTCTGTACATGCAATGCCCATGGAAGCCAGAAAATGGGTATTGGATTCCTGGGGCTGGACTTCACAGTTCTGAGCCACCATGTGGGTCATGGGAATTCAAACCTGGTCCCCTAAAGACCAGCCAGAGCTCTTAATTCCTGAGCCATCTTTCCAGCTCAGAAATGAATTTCTTAGTTGTAGGCTTATTTATTTTTATTTTATGTGTACAGGTGTTTTTCCTATATATGTGTATCACATGCATATCTGGTGCCTTCCAAGGCCGGAAGAAGGAATGGTACTCCCTGGCAGTTGGAAGCCACCATGTCAGTTCTAGCAAAAACAAGTGCTCTTAACTACTGAGCATCACTCCAAGCCCAGACCCGAGATGTAGTAACAAAACTTACCAGTGCACCTGAATAGAACTAATCATAGATCCTGGTTCTCTATCCCCAGTACAAAAATGTTTACTTAAAGGCTAAAAATCAGGAACAACAAATACTGTCTTCTCTACTTTGGTATAACTCTGGCAATCACTATTTCAATGAGCAGAAATGGAACCATAACATCCCTTTTGGAGACCAGGAAGCCAAGGTTGATAAGTCATATCCTCAGTGTATGTAGGGTGTCTTGATTCTTAAATCTTTAGGGTTTTTTTGGGGGGGGGTTTCTGTGTAGCCTTGGCTGTCCTGGAACTCTCTCTGTAGACCAGGCTGGCCTCAAACTCAGAGATCTGCCAGTCTCTGCCTGCAAGCCCTGGGATTAAAGATGAGTGCTGCAACCAAAGGCGTGTGAGACCACCATCCGGTTCATTTGTTTTTGAGACAGCATTTCGTTATTTAGTCCTGGCTGATCAGAACTTGCTTTGTAGATCAGACAGGCCTCAAACTCAGAGACCCATTTGCCTCTGCCTACTGAGTGTCAGAATTATAGACCTGGATTAAAGGTATGCACTGTCACACCAGGCACCTTAAGCCTTTGGATTCCAGTCTTAACCAGGGCTAAGAGAGCTCAGCAGGAGGGCTTGTAGACGCAGAGTCAGAAACCCAGTTCTTCCACCAGAATAAGCCACTTCACTGTCTTGAGTCTCGGGTCTGCTAATTTGGATCCTAAAACAATACGAGCCAGCTTACAATTTTCCAAAGGAGAAAGCAAATAAACCGGGCACTTTATAAACTGCTCATATAGCGGGCAGTGGTGGCCCACTTGGGAGGCAGAGGCAGGCGGATCTCTGAGTTCAAGGTCAGCCTGGTTTACAGAGGGAGTTCCAGAACAGCCAGAGCTACAGAGAAACCCTGTCTTAAAAGCCAAAAATATAAATAAAGACAAATTGTCTATATAAACCTGTTACTACACATGGTATTGCCCGGCAATCCTCCAAAGTAGAGGCGAAAGGATGCGGGAAAAGGCCCGCGTCTGCACCTAAGGCGTCTGAGAAACTGCTTGTTTTGATTGTTTTGCCCTGTTTGACAGAGTTCCACTTGCATCCATCCTCCTACCTCGGCCTCCAAAGGCTGGGAATTACAGTTATCAGTCACCATGTCCTGCTGATGGACAGCTTTTTAACTTTGAGTTATTCCAGAATCTTCTAATAAGCTCTAGAAAACTTCTAGTTCTCCCAGAGATAATAACCCTTACAGAAACAATGTTTCCTCCACCTCGATCTCGGGAGAAACCCGCCAACCGGCCACAGAAAAGAACAGGGCTCAGGCACGGGCAGCTCTGCACGGTGGTAACTGCGAAGGCCGGGCAGACCGGCGCCTTTGCTAGGGCGTCAAGGGACCACGGTAGCGCCGATCCCTCGTCCCTCGTCTTCAAGCAGCCGGGAACCGGCGAGCCCCGGGCGCCGTCACCGCCCGACGCGGCCCAAGACTCAGACGCAGGAACCTGGCGGGAACCGCAAGGGAATCCGACGGCCGGGGGCTCGAAGGCGACGCCTCCGGGGACCCCTCCCAGCCCGCGACTCTTCCCGACGACCGCGCACTGCATTGCGCGGCTCGCACGAGCCACGGGCTTGCGTAGAGGTCCGCGCGCCACGAGGACCGCGGCCGGCGCCGTCGGGTCCCGGGATTCCGCCGCCGCCCCAGCCCCGGCGCGCGCCGCCCGCGAAGTGGGCACCGCCGGAGGGAGCGCGGGGTGCAGACCGGCCCGAGCCCCACGCCCCGGGCCGCGGTCGGCCGAATGGCGGCACCGCGGGAAAGTTGCACCAACTTCGCAGGTGGCGAAGGCCCGAGGGTCGCGCCCACGCCGCCCGCCCCCGCGAGGTCGGACCGCCAGACCGCGGGGACGCCGAGGGGCTGAGCCCCCGCGCGCCCACGAAAATGCCCCTAGAAACTTAAGCCCTTCGCCATTTTAAGCACCGGAGCCTGGTGATTTAAAACTTAAAATAAACACCCCGCCCCCACCCTGAGTGGGGGCGCGTTTCCCAGTCCGCCCCGCGCACCCGCCCGGACCCCCGAAGCCCACCCCTCGCGACACAGGGCGGCAGGGGAAGGTGGGGGCTGAGTCATCTCACCTCCTCCGGGGCTCTGTTCTTCAACTCCAGGTTAATCTTCTTCTTCATCTCCATGTCCTCCTCCTTTCCCCTCGCCTGCCCTCCCCACTATCCCCAACCCTAAAGAACCTCTAAAGGTCTGGAGATGAATGAGAAGAGACGCAAAGACGGACGCCCACTACCACCCGGGTGTGGGGGAGAAAGAAAAGAATAGCAAATGGAGTCCGACGACTTGGGACTAACTCGGCTGCCCCCACCTTCTAGTCCACACACCCGCGCGCGCACACCCGGGCACGCACACACATTCACACAGAGAGACACGCGCGCGCCCGCAGCTCCTTCCCCTTCAATGGCTGCTGCGAGACTGAGCCTCCATGACACGGCACCGCCAACCCCCTAGCCTACACTCCACCCACCTCCCGACCGCATTGGCCGAGTCTTTAGCGTCGCGGCACTCCATTGGGTTAGAGGACTGCCCGTCTGTCTTTAGGGGGGCCCTGGACCAGAAACTCAGTGTCTATTGGCTCTGAGCAAGCGCGCAGTTAATTCCGATAGGTCCGGGAGGATGTACGTCCCGGAGAAACGATTTTGAATCCCAGTCGCCCCCCTCCTTTTCTTTGTGTGATTGGCGCGCTTTCCCTGGGTCGTGGGACGGTTTGGCTGTCTGTTGAGTTTGTTTTTGTTTGTTTGGGGGTTTTCTGGCTTCGGGGCTAAAGGAAGGGAAAGGGCGTGGTTGGCGTCCCCAGGCATGAGCGGGCCATTCAGCACACCGCTCTCCGGAGCTTTTGGTTGTCTTAAAGCACGAGCTCTCCGCTACGCGGCGAGCGTGGGAGCCAGGGACACAACGCACGAGCAGCGAGTTCGTGACACCTCCCCGTCTCGAACTGCCCTTGCGTGTTGCAGAGCCAGAGCGTGATAGAGAAGGTATTTTAACTTCCACTGTAAAAGGCGGAACGACTCTGGAAGCAGTTGAGTTTAGCACGTTGAGTCAGAAACCTTTAAATAAAACTGTCCTGGAGGAGTTGATACTGAGGTCATTTGTCGCTGGCAAAAAGTTGAGAACTTAGAGGAAAAGCAACACGGGCCTAAAGAAAACACAATTCCCAGAAACCCCACAGCAAGGCCTCTCCTTTCCAATTTCCCTTTAGTAAGTTTCCTACAGAAATCTACTTAAAATGTTCTTTTAAAGTGTATGTGAGGGACCGAAGAGACGATGTCCTTTGCAGAGGACCCTGGTTTGGTACCCACATGATGGTGCACAGCCATCCATAACTACAGTTCCAGGGAATTCAGTAGCCTCTTTTGACCTACACAGGTCCCAGGGCCAGAAGTGCGTGTGCATACATTCAAGCAAAACACTCATACATTTAAAAAGAAACTCTTACTTATCATTTAGTGTCTCTGTAAGACGAAGCATAATGGTACACACGCCTTTAATCACAGACCTCCGAAGGGAGAGGAAGGCAGATCTCTTGAGAACTACCTGGTATACATAGTGAGTTCTAGGCCAGCCTCTATCTCAAAACAAAAACTAAAAACCTAAGTAAGATACGAGTGGAAGCCGCGTGTGGTGGCGCACGCCTTTAATTCCAGCACAATGGAGGCAGAGGCAGGCGGATCTTGGTGAGCCTGAGTCCAGCGTGGTCTACAGAGCCAGTTCTAGGGCAGCCAAGCCTACATAAGAAACCCAGTCTCCAAAAAACAGAACAAAAAGATGTGAGATAAGATTTTTTTTAATTATGTTGTCTCTGCTTCCTGACTCACATGACCAGCTCCTTCCAGTTCCTGCCATTATGAACTGTGCTAGAACTGTGAACCAAAATATAACGTTTCTCCTTTTAAAAGATTAGTTTTCTCTTCTTACATGACAGGGTTTTTGGTTTTTTTTTTTTTTTTTGGTTTTTTTTTTGGTTTTTCGAGACAGGGTTTCTCTGTGGCTTTGGAGGTTGTCCTGGAACTCGCTTGGTAGTCCAGGCTGGTCTCGAACTCACAAAGATCCACCTGCCTCTGCCTCCCGAGTGCTGGGATTAAAGGCGTGCGCCACCAACGCCCGGCTGACAGGCTGACAAGGTTTCTTTATATAGCCCTGGCTGTCTTGGAACTAGCTCTGTAGACCAGGCTGGCCTCAAACTCAGTGAGATCCCTCCTGGCTATTTTTTATTTTAAAGCTCTTAATTTTTCTTAGTTCTTGTTATATTCTGACATATTCCTTTAAAATTCCAGATGATTTGGGAATATGTGTGAGTTAGCATGCATTTTCCATTTTTCAGTTTCTCAACCTCAGACACCTTTGGGTCTCCAACAGACTCTTCACCACTCTGCACCCTTACCCCCACCCAGGCACAGGAACAAACAATAGGCTTACATTTAACCACAAATGGCATAAATAACGAAATATCACCTCACTTCTAAAGGGTATACAAAGAGTTAGATTTTGTTTGCTTTAATGCTAACAACGCTAAAGGAAGCCAGGATTTGAAAACAACCAAAATACACTGAAGGAGCCTGGTGGTGCACACCTTTGATCCCAGCACTCAGGAACCAGAGGAAGGCAGATCTTTATGTGTTTAAGGCTTTTCTGGTTACATAAGTAGTTCCAGGCCAGCCAAAGTTACATAGAGTAGCTGGGCGTTGGTGTTGCACACCTTTAATCCCAGCACTCAGCAGGCAGAGGCAGACGGATCTCTGTGAGTTCGAGGCCAGGCTAGACCGACAGCCTCCAAAACAATACAGAGAAACCCTGTCTCGTAAAACAAAACAAAAAAATAAATAAAATAAAAAATAAAAAAATTTTAAATCCCAAAAAACAAAACAACACAAAAGCTATATAGACAGACTCTGCCTCAAAAACAAAACTAACAAGAAGCCCGGTGGTGGGGGCACTTGCCTTTAATCCCAGCACTCAGCAGGCAGAGACAGGCAGATCTCTGTGAGTTCGAGACCAAACCTGGTCTACCGATCGAGTTCCAGAATAGGCTCCAAAACAATACAGAGAAACCCTGTCTCGGAAAAAACAAACAAACAAACAAAGAAAAAACCCAAGAAACTGACAACAACAAAATACAAACCAAAAATGTCAAAGAAGAGCTGGGCCCAGGTTGGAGATGGATAAAAGAGAAAAAACGCATTTAGGACCAGCCTGGGACTATGTCTTGAATTCTGATCCTACCTGATAGCTGACCATGGGGAAGACAAATATCCCAAGAGGACATGCGCGATAACAAAAAGGAGAGAGAAATATGATTGAGGGAGGAGAGGAAAAGAAGAAGGAATTACCTACTAAAGTGCTATCTTCTAAAGAAACAGGAATGGAAAGAGAAAGGGGAATATATGGGAATTGAACACGATAGGAGAGAAGGCAGAGGCAGGTAGATCTCTGTGACCTTGAGGACAGCCTGGTCTACATTATCAAGTTCTAGGCTGGTCAGGGCTGCATAGACCCTGTCTCAAAAAGAAAGAGAAGAGGCAAGGAGGAGAAGAGTTCAGATGGCACCTTTAGCCTGCCAGGGAGAAGGGAGCATCGGGAGGTTATTAAACTCTTGGGCCTGCACGATGCCTCGGTGGATGAACACACACGCTGCCAAGCCTTACAACCTGAGTTTTTAACCCTGGCTCCGGGGCAGAAGGAAAGAACTGAGTCTCAAAAGTTGTTCCCTGACTTCCACATCCATGCTGTGGTACATGCATAGATAGACACACACACACACACATACACACACACACACACACACACACACACACACACACACAAATAAATAAATGTTTAAAAAAAAAGGTGAAGTCAACATGTCTTCAACATTCAAAACCTACTGGGCATTGGTGGTGCACGCCTTTAATCCCAGCACTCGGGAGGCAGAGGCAGGCAGATCTTGGTGAATTCAAGGCCAGGCTGGTCTACAGAGAGCCTTTCAGGACAGCCAGGACTGTTATGTAGAGAAACTTTGTCTTAGAAAACCAAAAAAAATAGTTGACTACTTCAGATTTTCCTCTGACCACCATACACTGGCTGTGGCACACAGATGTATATGTGTATAAATGCACAAATACAATAATTTAAAGTTTTTTTTTTAATTTTTCAAGACAAGGCTTCTCTGTGTAACAGCCCAGGCTGTCCTGGAACTGGATATACCAGGCTGGTCTCGAATTCAAAGAGATCTGCTTGCCTCTACCTCCTGAGTGCTCGAAATAAAGGCATGCGCCACCACCACCCAGTGATTTATTTATTTATTTATTTATTTATTTATTTGGTTTTTGTTGTTGTTTTGTTTTTTGAGACAGGGTTTCTCTGTATTGTTTTGGAGCCTGTCCTGGAACTCGCTCTGTAGACCAGGCTGGTCTCGAACTCACAGAGATCCACCTGCCTCTGCCTCCCGAGTGCTGGGATTGAAGGCGTGTGTCACCACCGCCCGGCTCTTTCTTTCCTTCTTGAACTTGTTTGTTTTGTTTTGTTTTGTTTTCTTCGAGACAGGATCTCACTATATAGCTCCGACTGCCTTGGAATTCACTATGTAGACCAGGTTGGCCTCAAACTTACAGAGATCCTCCCACCTCTGCCTCACAAGTGTTGGAATTTAAGTCATGCACAATCATCACCTTGCATAAATTTTAGTTTATTTAAAAACTAAAATAAAAAATTAGGTAATGTATTTGTTTTTATTTTAAGCACATTGGTGTTTTGCCTGCAAGTATGTATGTCTATGTGACGGTGTCAGATTCCTAAAACTGGAGTTACAGACAGTTGTGAGCTGCCATATTGGTGCTTGGAATTGAAACCAGGTCCTCTGGAAGAGCAGTCAGTGCTCTTAACCCCAGAGATCTCTCCAGCCCATAAAAATTCCAAGTAACACACAATTAGGAAAAGTTGAAGACTTTGAAAAGTCAGGCATTGTGGTACAGGTCTGGATTCCTTGGGAGGTTATAGTACAACAATCATTGAATTTGGGGCCAACCTGGATTACCTAGCAAGGCTATCCATAGTAATCATCATCATCATCATCATCGTCATCAGCAATAAAGGTAACATCTCTCAAAATTCAAAATTCTCCTGGTTGGAAACAAGCACTGCTCACATTCCATTATTTGTTAATTTGAAACAAAATCTCATTATGTAGCCCAAGTTGGCATGTAACCCTGGATCTTCCTCCACCTCCCAGGTACTGGGACAGATGACTATGCCACCATGCCTGCCTAATCTTCTGATGATGACCTTTAACCTACGTTCTACCTACCTCCACTTCAGGGTATTTCTTTTTTTTTTTTTTTTTTTTTTTGGTTTTTTTTTGAGACAGGGTTTCCCTGTATTATTTTGGAGGCTGTCCTGGAACTAGCTCTGTAGACCAGGCTGGCCTCGAACTCAGAGATCCTCCTGCCTCTGCCTCCCGAG